AATGTAAAGGGACAGGCCAATCAGTCGTTTTATCTCTGGTTCGATAAGTCAAGCTGTGATCTGTGAGACCTTCTAGATATCGTTACAGGGGGCGAGGTCCCCACACACCTGGCCCAGGAACCCGGGGATGGGGAGGAACCAGAAGGACAAACTGAGCTCTTCGTTGGAGCTAGGGGTCTGTTCCTGCCATGCTGGAGGTCAACATCCGGGGGCCAACACAAGAATCATACAACGTTAAGGGGGGCCTAGGATTAGTTGTGGAGACATACGATGCATGGCTTTCCTTAATACACCCACAGTGGCACGGCATAATAGAGAAGAGTCTGGATCTTACTAGCTTTTTGACTTAGGGTGAGTTACTTCACCTCATAGTGGCTTGCTTTCATCAGTTATAAGGTGAGAGCCGTATTTACCTCATTGGTTGTCATGAGGATTGACTGAAACGATATGTCTAATGCAACCAGTCCAGCGCCCCACGGGCAGGAAGCTCATGATACCTGCCATTTACTACTTTTTTAAATGGAAGTATAGTTGATGCACAGTGTTACATTGGTTTCAGGTGACCGCATAGCGATTTGACAGCTCCGTATCTCATGCCCTGCTCACCGCGAGTATAGCCACCCTCTGTCACCATACACCGCTATTACAGTACCATTGACGACATTCCCTGTGCTGTACATTTCATTCCCATGACTTATTCATTCCATAACTGGAAGGCTAGACCCCTCTACTTCCCTTCACCCATTTTGCCCATCCCCCACCTCCTCCCTCTGGCAACCATCAGTTTGTTCTCTGTGCTTGTAGGTCTGATCCTGCTTTTTTGTTTGTTCGTTTATTCTGTTTTGATTTCACATATAAGTGAAATCCTATGGTACTTGTCTTTCTTGTTTGACTTATTTCACTTAGTACAAAACCCTCTGGATTCATCCATGTTGACTCAAATGGCAAGATCTCATTTTTTATGGCTACGTAATATTCCACCACATGTGTTTGTGTGTGTGTCTTGATTATCCATTCATCTATTAAAAATTTTTTTTTTAACATTTATTCATTTTTGAGAGACAGAGTGAGACAGAGCGTGAGCAGGGGAGGGGCAGAGAGAGAGGGAGACACAGAATCCGAAGCAGGCTCCAGGCTCTGAGCTGTCAGCATACAGCCCAATGTGGGGCTCGAAAGCATGAACTGTGAGATCATGACCTGAGCCGAAGTCAGATGCTTAACTGACTGAGCCACCCAGCCTCCCCATATCCATTCATCTATTGATGGACACTTGGCCTGCTTCCATATCTTGGCCATTGTAAATAATGCTGCAATAAACATAAGAGTGCAAGTATCTTTTCAAATTAGTGTTTTTATTTTCTTTGAGTAAATGCCCAGTAGTGGAATTACTGGGTTGCCTCACATGGTATTTCTACTTTTAATTTTTTGAGGAAGCCCCCCCTATACTGTTTTCCCAAGTGGCCGCACCAGTTTGCATTCCCACCAACAGTTCATGGGGGTTCTTTTTTCTCCACATCCTTGCCAACACTTATAATTTCTGGTCTTTTTTATTCTAGCTTGCTTTTGTGTTTTTTCTTAAATTGCAGATTGGTGAAACCATGGCCATTTACTCTATTTTTTTAAATGTTTATTATTTATTTATTTATTTATTTATTTATTTATTTTTTAATTTTTTTAACGTTTATTTATTTTTGAGACAGAGAGAGACAGAGCATGAGGTGGGGAGGGTCAGAGAGAGGGAGACACAGAATCCGAAACAGGCTCCAGGCTCCGAGCTGTCAGCACAGAGCCCGATGTGGGGCTTGAACTCACAGACCGTGAGATCATGACCTGAGCCGAAGTCGGCTGCTCAACCGACTGAGCCACCCAGGCACCCCTAAATGTTTATTTTTGACAGAGAGAGAGAGAGACAGACAGGGAAGGGCCTAGAGAGGGAGGAGAGAGAGAGAGAGAGAGAGAGAGAGAGAGAGAGAGAGAGAGAGAAGAGGGAGACAAAGAATCCAAAGCAGGCTCCAGGCTCTGGAGCTGTCAGAACAGAGCCCAACATGGGGTTTGAACTCGTGAGCTGTGAGATCATGACCTGAGCCAAAGTCAGACATTCAACTGACTGAGCCACCCAGGTGCCTAGCCATTTACTTTAAATCAGCAAGATTTCCCCTGTTGTTGTCCAGCCTGTATGAAGAGAAGGGAGCATCCAATGTCCCCTGACATCTTGCTGCCTATTTCTCCAGCTCTTATACCCAAGTTCCCCAGTGGAGAGGAGAGCAAGCAGGTATCCAGTTGGGTATGGCCCAGAGTGATCCTCCACCTTCGTGAAATTTCCTTGAGGTCTCAGCTTTCTTTTTCTTTTTTTTTTTTTAAACGTTTATTTATTTTTGGGACAGAGAGAGAGACAGAGCATGAACGGGCGAGGGGCAGAGAGAGAGGGAGACACAGAATCGGAAAGAGGCTCCAGGCTCTGAGCCATCAGCCCAGAGCCCAACGCGGGGCTCGAACTCACGGACCGCGAGATCGTGACCTGGCTGAAGTCGGACGCTTAACCGACTGCGCCACCCAGGCTCCCCAAGGTCTCAGCTTTCATTTACACGTTCTTGTATTTAACTCCATAAAATGTTTTAATATATTAAATCTTATTATGTTATTCCCTCAGAATCTTTGAGTAACATTGAGGTTCTGGGAAGATAAACTTCATCCTGAACACATATTCCTGTTGAAAAACCTCAAACCAACATCATTTCTGCCTACAGGGTCAGCAGGTCAGGGGAGGGAGACTCCAGGCTAGACCATCAGGGATGACTTCACGAAGGGGCCTTCGTGAAGCCCTAAGCTGGCCCAGTAGGATGTAGACATGTGGAAAGAAGGAAGAAAGGTCACAAGCAAAAGTCTGGAGGTGAACACAAACGAAACCCTCAAGGAACCGCAAAGAAACTCTGTTCCAAAAACCAGGACCTGAGGTTCCTTCTCATCTGAAAGTCACTAATCTTTGTGTCTGGTTCCAGGAAAAACTGATCCCACAGGAGCCTGATTTGCTGTCCCAAGGCCATCAGTCACCTTCAGCAACCACGCCATTTCTTCTCCTCTCCTAACTCTCTACACATTTTCCATCTGGACGGGAGGCCCCGGGCAGGCATGTTTGGCACCACACATTGCCCACGTGCCTCCCTGAGGACTTACGGTCATTAAGAAACTTCTCATAATGAGCGCTTTGGCTCCAAAGCACCCAGCTTTCCTTGCCTCTCTCAGCAGCCAGCCCTTAGATTCCATCCTCCCCCATCACAGGTCAGGGACCTTCTTGCCGTGGGAATGGTCTTTCCTCCCCTCCCGCCTCCCTCTCTTCCTCCGTGTGGCTTCCTTCCTGGAAGAGTCGATGAGGGCTGAAAGCCAAGGAGAGGGTGAATCACGATATCCAATCAGTTCTGCTACCTAAAGTGTGGGCTGCCTCAGTGTGCTGGGCTACCTAAGCTTCTCACCAGGACGCTCCCATGTTGCTCTTCCAGTGCTGGCTGTCTTCCTCTGGGTCCAAGTGAAGACATCAAGAAGCAAAGCAAGGCACCGTTGGTCGGGGGACCTAACAATGTCTGCCTCCACTAACACATTTGCCAACACTGAAGAAGGCTGCTTTGGGGCTCACTGGTATGCGATGGTGCTGTAGTGGGGGCCCCCTGGAGATCACCAGGTCCTTAGAGTTATTCTGCGATGTTTGTTCTGCATCTCGAAATGACAACCCACACCTCTGGGGCCTGGCTACAAGGAAGACATGACAATGGACATGTTTTTCCCTATTCCGAAATGGGTAGCTCTGTCCTTGCAGATGGGATCTCTCTCTCGGAGGGTCTCAATGAATATTTGACGAGGGATTTATTGGCTTCCAGCCAATATGTTTAGATCCCTAGCCCTCCTCTACACAGAAACCAAGGTGGGGCATCAAAATAAGAGGGCTCTTTAATTTGGAAAGACAGAGGTCGCTATAAGGCAGCATATAATGGCATTACGGACTTGGCAGCAAGAGAAAATGGAGAACAGGCTAAGCTTTAATCCAGATAGGATTCAAACCTAGCTCCTCACCTGTAAGATGGGGGTAATCCTTCTTACATAATAGGTATGCCGTGAAACAATTTAGCAAAAGTGCACACTTAGCAAAGGCTTTAGTACATCGCAGATCCCTATCATAATCATTTGCTTCTTCTCTCTGTTAGGTTATCAAATTCAAGTTGGCACAGTGGGCCTTTTGGGAGAAAAAGATGTGTCCACTTTAGGCAGTGGGAAGTCGACTTACGAATTTCACTCTTCCCTGATGTGGCCCCGGTGGGAAATACAGTGAGCTCACAGGAGAAGAATTGGGACACATCACGAAAGCCGTTCCCTGAATGTTCTGGCCCTGCTCTGCCTTTGGAAGGTGTGGAGGAGGCCCCTTGTGGTCCCTGCCCCACACTGTGCCTGGGGGTCTCAGCCGTCAGATTCTAGGCTGGACAGAACCCGGGGTGCTGACACTGTGGAGGCCTCTCTTGGGCTCTGACTTTCTTTATCCCACTCTGGCCTGCTAGCAGCCGTTTACAGCTAACAGGAGAGAAAGGGTGGTTTCAGAGGTCTCCTCAGGGCTTTGGTGGGGGTGCTTGGAGATGTTTAAAGAGGATGCAGAGGATCACTTCCCCCTGTCAGGAAGTGGGGTCCTGGTGGACAGTACGGAAGTATGTTGCACCCCTTCCTCTGGGCTCATCCCCAGTTTGTGACTTTCTGACCCTGGACGGGGTCCTCAGTTCTTGGACCTTTCTCCACTCTGGTCAAGGCTAGGATGCTGCCTCTCACAGAAGAGGCAGCACCCAGTACCCAAGGCGACTGGAACCAACGCAAGGATCCTGCATCTGTGTGGAGGGCGAAGGTCTGGCCACAGCACTGACGAGTTTTACCTGCCCAAACCGAACTGGGTAGAGTTTGTTCAGTATCTCCTTAGCTTTGACAACCCCGCTGAACGTCAAGAACAAGTCAAAAGACCCATGAGGTTTCCAGGAAACTGGTTTCGCTTCTTTGTTTTTGTTTTGTTTTGCTGCCGCAGCAAGAGGTCAAGAACCACAGAGTTTTGTAGACTCGAAGCTCTTTTTCAGCGAGGTTACCTTCAGGTAAATGGTACCTTTTCTTCCAGGAAGCTAGTAAATCAACAGAATGTGTCCCAGAGGCAGGCACATAGGAGTAATGATGTAAAACGTTTGAGCCATTGGCTTGGATCACGCGGCATAAGAAAGCTGAGGGGAGAAGGAGAAGCTTCAACGGGAGTTCGTTTTCTAACCTCCAGTTCGTATTCTGTCTGGCAGTGGTGTGTGTTTTTTATTTGGAACTTTTTCAAATTGGGTGTCCAAATTTTAGCCCAAGACAGGGCTGTACCAGTCTTGGAGATCAAGCTCACACACGTCAACTCAAAGGCTGCCTGATGTCAAATTCTCCCTGGTTGAGGCTCCTGTGCGGCTCAGTCGGTTGGGCGGCCGACTTCAGCTCAGGTCATGATCCCCAGCTTCGTGGGTTCGAGCCCCGCATCGGGCTCTGTGCTGATAGTTCAGAGCCTGGAGCCTGCTTCAAATTCTATGTCTCCCTCTCTCTCTGCCCCTCCCTGCTCACGCTCTGTCTCTCTCAAAAATAAATAAACATTTAAAAAAATTAAAAAAAAATTTCTCTCTGGTTGGCACCTGGGGTCCCCGTCCCTGGCTTCCCACCGCAGCTGTGGTGCCACCGCTCGCCCGAGTTTTCCCGCCACCGTCTCCGCTTCTGCTCCTGCTTCCAGACTGCCAAGCATGGCTGGAGCACTGGCCACGGCCGGGCAGGCTGGGCTGCTGCAGAGTCAGGTTTCCGTCTTCAGCTTGGTTCCCAGGGCTGCTCAATGCCCTATTATTCAATCCTGCTTGACTTGCTGTCCCGTTTCCTGCCTGCCTCACATTTCCAAGCCACACCACTCTCGCCATGCCCTCCACCCCCACCCCCTACAGTCAGCACATGATCTCATTGGTTCCTTCCCCAAGAGGCTGCCAAAGCTGTCACCCCTCTTTGCCTTTACCCCAGAATTCTCTGGCCCATCACCCCTTCTTCCTGCTGCTTTCCAAGGTCAATTCCTGCACCCCGTCCACCTCCCTCATGATCACGCTCCATCTGAGTTCCCTCTCTAGTCCCTTTTCCATCTCTGCCTCCTTATGGGTTCCCCACCGACCAGTGTCCAGAGGACCATCACCCAAGGAAACTTTTCACGCACCACTGTGACGCTTCCTTTTTTTTTTTTTTTTTTTTTTTAAGTTTATTTATTTTGAGACAGAGACAGCACGGGTAGGGGAAGGGACAGAGATAGACAGGAGAGAGAGAATTCCAAGCAGGCTCTGTACTGCCAGCAAAGAACCTGATGAGGGGCTTGAACCCATTAAACTGTGAGATCACGATCTGAACCAAAGACGAGAGTCGGACGCTTAACCAACTGAGCCACCCAGGCGCCCCACTGTGACACTTCTTCAAATCCGCTCTTGCTGCCTCTACTTCTCGATTCCCACTCAAGCTTCCCCTGTCCTTAGACTATTCTCCTCAAGATAACCATTGTCTATTTATGGCAGACCCAACCACTTCCCCATCTCCCCTTATGGGGCCTCTTTGAAGCATCAGAAATGTGTTCCAGCTCTTCCTCTCAAAACTGTCCTTCCTTTTCTTCTCAGCTCCTCTCCCGCTCCCCCTGCTCTCCCCTAGCGTCTGTTGCATTGGTGCCTCTCAGTGTGAATGGTCCTCAGAGCACTACCTTTCTCCTATTTTGGTCCCTTTCTCCCTCTACTGCCGCCTGGATATTGTCTCATGAACCTCGCCACCAGAAACCCCAGTTCCACCTATCCTGTCGGAACTGGTGCTTTCTCTCTCCCTCTCCCCAGACCACTTCTCCCTCAGGGTTCCCTGTCTTTCTCATGGCCAGGAGCATCTTCCCAGACACACTGAAGATAGCAAACTACTTGCTGGTCCTTCCCTTCTGCCCACACAAGTGACGGGTTTCCCCTGGCCTCTGCAGGGTCCCCGGCACCCATTCCCTCTCTCCAGGAACGCTGCCTGTGCTCGCCAGCTCTCCTCCGCCCTCCTCTTCTCTGACCCGGGTTGTTGAAATAGCTTTGGTCTGCCTACCTTCGCTGTCTTCCGTCCTCAGCCTGCTCCTTTATGGCTCTTCGTGGCTCAAAGAGTCTGTTACAAATACACAGATGGGGTCACATCACCCCTCCCTTACTTACCTCCATCCTCAAGGCTCCAACTCTTTTAAGGCATGGCTGTGTTTGCAAAATACAGCATAGCTTCCGTAGCCTCCTGATCATGGCTCTCAACATGGCCCCATCTTAACCATAGTTCTACGTCCCACCACCCTTCCCACCCCCACCAACACACACACACACACACACACACACACACACACACACACACATACACACACACACCCTTACCTCATTCACCTTTCACTTGGGACCACTCATTGTTCTCCAGATACCACTCTCCCTTTCGCACCTCCGTGTTACGCTGGCTCCTTTTACACTTATACTGGTTCCTTACCTTGGAACATCGTTATCCTCTCTTGAAATCCTACTCACCTTTTAAGGCCGGTCTCCTCCATGAAGCTTTCTCTTATTCCTCCAGGCACAGTTCACTGTTTCCACCTCTGCAGTCACGTAGCATTTGTTTTGTATCTCTAGTAGACCCCTTCATCCTTGAGAGGGCAGACCACGTCTTCCTGATGCCTGCAGGCTGAGAGGCACAGCACCATGGCCGGCACATGGTGAGAACTTATTAGTTGCTGAACGCGTGAGTGAATGAACGACGAAAGTGTTCCACTGTCGTCGAGGAGTCATATGTATAAGCACTTTGGGGGCAGGCTGAGTGGTAGATGACAGGCCTCTCACAATATTTATACCTTAGCTTCATCAGGATCCCAGCTCTGACTCAGCTGAGGCTCCTGTGACCAGCCCTCCAGCTTCACTTCCTCACCACCTTTCCACCTTTCCTTCTGAGACATGGGCCTCTCCTTTGCCCCTTTACCCTGGATAAGTCTCGGACTCTTCCATAAGCCTACCAGAACTTTCTATGTCTTCATAGGGCCACCGTGAAGGTGTCGGCTGGCTAGGACATCAGTCCCCCTACATCTTTGCTCTCTCCTTCCAAGAATTGCCCTCCTGCAAGCCAGATACAGGTTAACTTTGTTTTTTTTAAGTTTATTTATTTTGAGAGACAGAGAGAGAGAGAGAGAGAGAGAGAGAGAGAGAAAGCACAAGTTGGGGAGGGGCAACAGAAGGGAAAGAGAGACAATCCCAAGCAGACTCCGCATTTACAGTTCCTAGCTGACAGCTCAACTCCACGACCTGATGTGGGGCTCCAACTCATGAACTGTGAGATCATGACCTGAGCCGAAGTCGGACACTGAACTGACTGAGCCACCCAGGAGCCCCCAGATATGGGTTAATGTTAAGGCTTTTTCTTCCCCCCTCAGGATGGGCTTTGCCGTGCCCGTCATTTACACAGTAGTGGAGAGCTAAGTCTTCTTGCCAAGGACTCCTGCAGTCAAAAGCCTCTTACGAAACGAGAGGCGTGTCCCCCACCACGGGCGGTGAGACCTGTGAACGGGGTAGGGGAGCCCCGAGAAGCCGGGATCTTTCCTCCTGCTGCTGAGATTCCACAGGCAGCTGCCTCCTCCATCTTCCACTGCAGTAAATTCAGGGAGGTGGGACCACACAGAAGCCCTTCCCCTGAGCCCTGTCCCAGCACAGGCAAGAGAAGGCCGCGCTGGGGCAGGACAGCTTATAATTCTGGCCAGCCCGGACGGGTGAGTCAGCATTCACGTGGGCAGCCCCCGGCTCCTCTCCCCAGCCTGGAGGGGAAATGCTGAGTCGCACACCTTGTGGGGAGCCACTGAGCCAGAGCCCCCGTCGCTCTCTCTCTCTCCACAGCCCAGACGGCTTCTGGGCTTTGCCCATTCTTCTTGGCCTCTGAAGAGGGGGTCCAGCAAGCTCTAGAGCAGCCATGACCTGGGAAGTCATCCTGCGAGTGGTCGGATGAAACGCAGGCCTTCCAAGGAAGGGCCAGGGCCAAAGGCGTGTGTCCATTTCCCCTACCTGTGCGGGCCGGAGCACAAGCTGCGGACTCCCTCCCGGGGCATCGGGCGGAAGGGGAGCCAGCAAAGGGCCACAGCCCACCATCCAGGCTTCCATTCATGAACCTTCTTACAACCGCACCGCTGGAAGGCCGCCACCTTTGCCAGGGCTTGAAGTGGTTCGCAGAGACCGAGGCCAGATAGGTAATAGCTGTTCTCTATTTTCTATGAGAAGATTTATTCAAAAATAAATTTAGCTAAGGGGGAAATGTTAAACAAAAAAAAAATAGGAAAGCAGAGGGACAGATTTTCTTGTTGACTGGCTGCCAGGGATTGAAAGGTTGAGGCAGCCAGTCCCCTCGGAGGGGACAGCTGAAACATTTCATGGTGTAAAGTCAGCGAATTTCCACCGGCTCGCCTGCCAGAGACCACAAAACGGTTTCAAACAACGGCTCGCTTCATGATATGTGTGTGTGTGTGTGTGTGTGTGTGTGCGTGCGCGCGCGTCCGTATGTGTGTTTGAGAAAAAGGCAAGGCAAGGGTGGGGGATGGGTAGAGCTAAAAAGTGTCCTCTCTCGGCCAGCCGAGTGGGCAAGGGGCGTGGTGAGCAGATTAATGAAAATGTTTTGCTGGCATGAGGGGTTTGATTGCCCCGCTGCAAAATTGCTTGCAGATTCAAAAACAGCATGTTTCATTTCAAACTCATTCTCTTGCCATACATTAGCACTTGTCAATGTAACCATTAAGCACAAGCAGTGCAGAAATTTAATTACAAAACCATTTATTTTATTGAAAGAAAAATAAACCCAAGCTACCTCAAATGCATTAGGTAGGTTCAAAACATGTTCAGCTGATAACACCCAAGGGTAGGGAGGCCTGCTGCAGGAATAAATGCGTCTTTCATGTGCGGTGGGGACTCGATATTAGAAACAGCTGCCCATAGGTCCCTCTTTATTTAAGTGCAATTATGAATTAAAAAACAACAGATTTAATGAAGGGACTTTTTATATCTGAAGTTACTCGGCTGTGGTGTTCACTCTCGTCTTCCCATTTTTGCCTCCCCTTTTCAGCGGTTCAATTAAAAATGCTAAATAGGTTGAGCAGAACTTGTTCCTGAACGGGTCACCTTCCCTGCCCCCTCCCGGTTTGTCTTTTGTTCGCCTAATGGTGGGAGAACCAAGGTCTGCGGTGTTAAAGGAAGTCACAAAAATGTGCTAAACACATCAAAAAGTCCCCAGTCTGTGTCTCATTTATGCCTTCTTCCCCTGCCCCCCGTGTGCATCTTCTACATGTTGGAAATCAGGCAGTGCAAGGCTCTCTGGTGAAATAGATTTGGCTGATGTCATGCTGGAGACGGCCTCTCCTTAGCACGACGGAGTTGCCAATAACGCGTCTGTTTTACTATTCTGCTGGAGAGTGAAGAGAAAGAGTTATAACCTTAGTGGTTTGGACTGATTTGTCCATTTAAAGTGCTCTTTTTCCCCCCTGTCTGAGATATCAACCCACAATTTCTTACAGACATCTCCTCATGTAGTCCGCTCAGAGGAGGAATCTGGAAAGGAAAGATCTTTTTCTTTCTTT